TTTCCTTAATTGAAATGATAAACAAAATTTAGCCATAAAATTGTACCATGCAGTATTCCGAAACCCTCTTTTTATTTGTTATATCTATTTTTATATATATATATATATATGTATAAATATTTAATAAAAATAAATAATATTTTAAAGATTTGCATATTTTTTTAAAAAAAACCAAAATAAAACATCTCCCATGGTGAAAAATTTATAATCGATAAAAAAAATATATATATTTCAAAAATTTTTTAAAAATTAATAAATATATATATTTTTTAAATTCATTATAAAATACTATGATTTAAAACAAAATTATAATATTTATAATTTGTGATATCTGGATCGTTCTCAAAATGGTAGAAATTTCTTTGTTCAATTCAGGCGCACGATTTGAAAAACATTTTTTATTGAAAAAATTTCCTCGGTCCATTCATTTAATTATATCCTATATCAGCAATATATATATATATAATATATATAAATATATATAAATAATCTAAAATTTAAAAAAATCGGTCTGGGAAAAAATATGACTTGTAAATTTAATTTGTTAAAAAAATAAAAAAATTTTATGATTTTTTTAATATTTAAAATCATATCATTTTGCTCACGATAAAAATAATTCCTGCCATTGTTAAGGAAAATCTCATATATTATATATAATATTTATACAAAAAACGTTGAAAAAACTAGTCATAAATATATATATATAACATATATATAATATAAAATCTAATAAAAACACAAACAATTTGTACCAAATAAAATTTTATTTTTCTTAATTTTAATAAAAAACAAAATTTCAGATATATGATATATGTAAGGAAAATTTAAAATTCTTTTTTTTAATTTTAATAATATTTTTTAAAAATTTGTATAAAAAAAAATATTTAATATATCATATATATATATATATTCATATGTTTGTGTGTGTGTGTTTTGTGTGTGTGTGTTTGTGTGTGTGTGTTTGTTAGTGTAAAATTTAAATAGATCTTAAAAACGGAATATGTTAAATATAAAACGATTTTTTATTTTTTGCTTTTATTTTTTTTTTTTATACAATTTTTTTTTATTTAATAATTAACGGTTTTCTTTATTAAATCCTTGTAAAAAAAAATTCATTTTTTTTATATTTTATATAAAAAAAATGATTGATTCTTTATTTATATTTTTATAATTTATCATCCAAAATTTAAAAATATTAAATGTTTTTTTAAAATTTTTAAAAATAAATAAATATTTTGATAAATAATGTCGTATTCATATTTATTTAATTTGCATATATATATATATATATATATATATATATATATATATATATATATATATATATATATATATAAAACAATAAAAAAATATTAAAAAATTAAAATCTTTAGACACACTGGGTTGTAGATTAATATTCTTTCGTTTTTTTTTATTATTATTTTTCATTTAGATTCCTCGACTAGTTTCGACCAAAATGGCCATCATCAGGAGAAAAAATTTTCTGCTTGCTGGTAGCAGTGAACTACAGAAATGAATGTCTTTTGATGGAGAAAATGAACTTTTGTCTGTAGTTTTCATTTTTTTTTTTTTTTTTTTATCTTTTTAACATGAATCTTTTAACATTCCTTGTGTTGGTCAAACAGTCTCTTTTTAAGTTGTTATTTGAGATAAGAGCTGGATGGATACATTTTTCCTGAATTCTCTGGTCAGTTTGACAGTTTTATTGGACCTGGAGAGGGATGTGTCTCTGTTTAGTGTTTGTGTGTGTTTGGGTTCTTAGGGGTGAGTGAGTATGATATGTGTAAGCGTGTGTATTGCTGTGGGTGTGTGTTATCATTTGGCTCATTAGGGAGTGAGTGAGTATGATGTGTGTATGTGTGTATATTCGTGTGGGTGTGTGTATAAGTGTGAGGCCTCCATTCCTCCGTAAGCATGTCTGTCTTGTGTGGGTGAGAAATGTGGGTAGGTTTTGATTTGTTGATTATATATTATTATCTATATTGTTAAATTTATGATTTAGCCCGGCTGGATATTGTGTTTTTAGACGTTGTATCCACTTATTTTCATGGGACTCTAAAATTTTCTAATGTTATCTGCTCTGAACTTTTCTATTCTCTCAATTATAGTGAATTTGGCATGGGTTTTTTGAAATCGTGTTTTTCTAGGCGGAAATGTTGTTCTACAGGTAATAATTTTTCATGGGGAGTCGACTTAATTCGATTACGATAATTATTAATTCTGTAGTGAAAGGGCCATTCAGATTTTCCTACATATTGTTTCTGGCATAGTGTGCATTCTAGGAGGTAAATTATGTTTTGACTTCTACAGTTAGAATCGTGGTAGATTTTGAAAAGTAGATTTAGTGATTGAGCTAGTGAATGAATTCGTGTTTTTTAATATGGTTGCAACATAAACTTCTTTTGTTGTTACATGGTTGGGAAAATCCTGTTGTTTTTTTGTTCTTAGTTTATTACGGATTACCTTGTCCCCTGAAATGTGGTTACTACCTATGATTTCTTTTAGGTTCTTAGGTCTACGATATGCAAGAAGGCCGGGTTCCTCAAACAATTTTTTTTTTAGGTCTGGTTTGAGATGTAGTATTTCCCAGCGACGTTTGATTATTTGGGATAGTGGAGGCAGAGTGGGATTGAAAGTGGTTACTAGAGGGATGCGGCTAGATTTATTTTTAATCTTGTATATTAGGGTGTCTTCTCTAGGTGTGGAAATTGCTTTATTTATTTGTTCCCTGATTAGGTGTTGTTTATAGCCACGTGTTGTGAATTGATGCTCCATTTGATTTTAAATGTGTTTATTTAATTCTTCATTGTTGGAACATATCCTTCTGAGTCTAAGTGCTTGTGAATAGGGAAGGTTCTCTTTGAGGTGTTTAGGGTGGGAAGACTTAAAGTGTAGATAGTTGTGGGTGTCAGTGATTTTAGTGTGTAGTGTCGTTTGTAGTTTCCTGTTTTCATCTATGTAAATGCGGGTGTCTAAAAATGTTACTGATGTTGTGGATTTTTCATATTCAAACTTAATTGAGTCGTGCACTGTGTTTAGGGTCATAAGGAATTGGGTAAGTTTGTCATCACTACCCGTGTATACAAAGAATATATCATCGATATATCTTGCATAGAATACGCAGTCGCTACCAATGATTGGATAGATATGGGTCTCCTCAAATTTTCCCATGAATATTGTAGCATATGATGGAGCTGCAATGGTGCCCATGGCACAACCTCTTATTTGAAGGTAGTGTGCTCCATTGAAGTTGAAAGTATTCAATGTAAGGACATGCTCCATGAGTTTTATGATGACTTCTGTGGGGGGTCCTGTTTTCTTCTTTTAGTAAGTGCTTCCTGAAGGGCGGTTAGCCCTTCGATGTTTTTAATGTTTGAATATAGTGACCTAACGTCCATAGTCACGAGAATAGCATTCTCTGGTACTGTTTGTATGTGATTAATTTTGTTCAGTAGATCTGTTGTGTCTCTGATGTAGGATTTTACTTCCTTAGCTAGCGGTTGTATGTAATGGTCTATGTATTTGGAAATTTTTTGTCGTGTGGCAGTTGAACGATGAAATAACCGGCCTTCCTGGATTGTTGCTTTTGTGTATTTTAGGAAGGAGATAGAAGGGGCAGGTGTAATATATATATATATATATATATATATATATATATATATATATATATATATATATATATATCATGATAAATTAAGAAAACACCTTAAAAGTCTATATCGGTTATAATTTATTTCATGAATATTGTTATATTAATCTCTTCAGAACGAATCCAGACAGATATACCGGGATAAAAAAGGAAAAAGGGAAAAAAGAGAAGGAAAAGTTGAAAAAGTAATAAGAAAAAAGAAAAAAAGAAAAAGAAAAATAAATGATTGCATTTATGCAGCAGTTTATAGCCTGTTTTTGTTACAATTGTTAATAAATATTATTATTAAGCTCTACACTGTATTGAGCACTTTTTAAAAATATGTTTGGACATTGGAATTAACCTACACTTATATATATATATATATATATATATATGGTGGAGTTATTTTTGGACAGACCTCATATTTCAGAAAGGGAATACTTTCTTATATATACAATATATATGAACACATGAACTGCAATTAAGTTTTTTTTTTTTCGTTTTTCATATTCTTAAGGGATGTTATAAAAATAATTTCGTTATTTCTAGCTATTTCATGAACGAATTATTAAGTTAACGCAAGCCCGTTATGACCTCCGAAATTCCATGTCAGAATCGACCGAGGAAAAACAAGTGCAGCTCTTGTTGATAACTGGACCATAAAATTTATACTTTTAATTGTCGCAATTGTACGTGACACTTTTCAAAGACATGATTGCTCATGTTTTCATAGCAGAATATGTGCAAGGTTTCTTAGCAGTCCAAATGTCTGACATTTCTCAAAATATTTTCTCGATTCTTCTTGATTTTTACCTGTGTGATCTGACTTCTAAAAGAAACATTAAGAGAAAGGAATTCACTGATGTTTTATACTCGTTAATAATCTATGGGTGTTAAAAAAGCCTATCATTTTTATGGCTGTTCTTGGCGTCAGAATAAACGAAAAAAAGACATTATAGAAAAATCGTACAGAACAAAAATGCAGTTTGTTAATATTGATTTTGGTTTGACCAAGCTTTCAGACGATCTGTTTTGATCAATAAATTACATCTGCGTCAAAAGTAAATCAATATTAATTATATGGCGTCTCAGGCTCAATTGATCATGTCGAAATCTTAAGTAATGAATGTAACAACACTTGAATGAAAAGCTACGTCGCCAGAAATCTTCAATTTTTTTTCTTTCTTCGCCCATCTTTGATAGAATAAAAATCGTTTTCCCACATACATACATTATATATATATATATATATATATATATATATATATATATATATATATATATATATATCCAGGTAAAATGCGAAAAAATGGAGTATAATTCCACTTTACGTAACATTTAATTTAAAATTGGGCCCAATACAGATTAGATCTCTCTCTCTCTCTCTCTCTCTCTCTCTCTCTCTCTCTCTCTCTATCTCTATCTATCTATCTATCTATCGATCTATCTATCTATCTAACAACGCAGACTGGGATTTCTAGCTTTGGTAGAATAATCAGTCTAGGCGAAGGAAAACACTTAATTCAAACTGCTTGTGTGCACGTGCACATGCGCCGTGAAGTACGAAAAGAGCGTTCGTTTCATTGAAGCTCAGTCTGTCCATTTATCCTTTACAAGTTGTATTGGACCCCACCTTACCATTTGGGTCCTGCAGGGGATGTTAAGAGAGGGAGTCTCGTAAACTCAGCGACCCTTGCTATAAAAAGCGATGTGTTTACTCATGCTGAGAGCATTATCATGTAGCATCTGAAAGATATATTTATAGTAAATCACCTTATGACTATAAACGGTATATTTAGTGAGTATATATGCTTGAGTAGACATCCATGTTGTTGTTTCAAACAGCGAAATTAATGTCAGTCGGCTTAGAGATCCTGATGTCTTACTAAAGAAAATGTGCTACTCGACGGGAATCGAACTTTTATTTCCTTTATTTTCTATCAAGGAAACCAATTTTAAGGCAAAATGTGTCCTACCAATTAGGCTTCAAGAAACCTCATGGTAGATTTTGGTTGGTTGTTTTTGTTTAGCCACATATATCCTCGTATGGGTTATTTAATATCGAAATCTAAATATGAAAATTAAAACCTTATAATTAATTCACGAAAATGATATTATTTCATGATTAAATTATAATAACTTAGCTGCACTTTTTTACCAAATAAACTTACAAAATCAAACAAGAAGTGAAAACTTGCTTTTTAATCCTAGCGAATTGTTTTTGTTGTTTTTTTACAATGTATGCCACGTCTTCAATTTTACTATAAAATGTATTGACTATTATTTTGCTATAGAAATTTATTGTTGATCATTTTATTATAAAATGTATTGTCAGTAATTATATTATAAAAATGGACTGCTCGTAATTTTACTACAAAAAATGCATTTTCATACTTCCCTAGTGTTTTGATCTTTATTTGGGGGATCACTATTTGCCCATAGATAGGACCCTAAAAGGTGCTACCACCCAGGATCAGGGTGGACCTGGGAACAATAATAATGAAGTGGTGTTTCTACGCTCCTCAAAACCTCCAGTCTGCCGGATGTAATTGATCGTCATACCGAGAGCGCTATCATACTTGAGCAAGGTTCAATTACCTATTTAAGAAATGCACATCTCTCAGTTGGGGCATTTCGAAGTCTATATCTGTTCGCTTTGTTTTCGTACCCGAAACGTAAATAAAGTATTTTAAACAATTAATGGATTTAATTTTAATCAATTATTGGATTTATTTAATCCGACGTTATTTCTTAATATTATAAACGTTATATACAATTGCTACACGTGTCTTAGCTGACGTTACTGTTATTTTAAAACGTAGAAATTATTGTCAACCGGGTTAGAGATCCATTTTTTAAAACCAGGTCAATTCCTAGCAAAAGAATGACGTTACAACAAGGTTTTCGAAACGTTGCATAGAGACTGCAGAGACCTTTTTTTCATGTAGACTCCCCACAACTTTACTGTAATATTAACGATACTGTAACAATATACATTGCTTTATAACGTTACATTAACAGAAAATGGATAAATTCCAGGAAGATATTAGAATGGGTATTCATCATCTAAATTACTGATTCTCAACTTTTTAAAACAAGAAAAGATATTTTATACTTTCTATACATATTGTTAAGTGAAGAAAAAGTCTTCTGATGTTATAATTTGTCAGTGTTGAATTCTTCAGCTACAACTCTTCGCAACGTTACAATAAAGTCATGAGAAATTTGGGGATAGGCGGTCAATTTGGTGGGAGGAAAACAGTTGATTTCAACGTTACAGTAACGTCGCCGCAACGTTACATATACTCCAATCAAAATACATCGTATCTGTAACGTCAAAAAAGAAGGTTCCGGGTTAGCTGAGTTCAGGATGGACTCTCTCTACAAATTTCTTTCTTTTTTATCTGTGAATTGCTAATTGTTCTTAAAGGAGAGACTGATTTCTCGTTGAGTCCTGCATGGTTTTGAATTCTGAGTGCTCCTTCTATTAAAATTGTTGCCACCCAAGGCAAGAGATCTCCGACTACCATGCTATTTACCCAATAGCTGGGTGGGAGAAGAAATGGATTCGTGCCTTTCAAAAAAAGGTAATTACACGAAGTGAAATCAAAAGACTTGGGTGGCATTTGAACTCGGCTCTCTAGTTCATTTTCAGTGAGATTACTCACTCAGGGTAGGTTGGGTACTAAGATATTATTCGTTTGTCAATCTTATTCGGTTGACATTAAAGAGGATGGAGTTTGCTTTGACCAAAGTTTTAAGAATCTTTGCTTCTTTTCTTTGCAATTGGGTTTCCATGAGAACCAACCACATTTCGATTAATTGTGATTCGATCTTTCTATTCTTCGTGTTTTGTTCTGAAAGGATGTGCGAGTAGTGTAATGGATAGCGGCTCGAAATTGGAAGTCGAAGAGCCGAGTTCGAATTCCAGTTGGGTTCGTTACATTCACTTACACGCAAATAGACTCCCTCCACCTAGCGATGGGATAAATAGTAGAATTTGTATCGACAAAGTAAAAGAACTGTTATCTTAATAAAATTGTTAATACAATATTCACTTAAGAAAAGGGGGGTTATTCTTACAATTAAAAATATTTTTTGGCTTTAAATAACACACAAGGTGTTGGGAAGCCATAAAGAAAAAAGTCAATCAATCCTGCTCTGAAAATGAAAATTCTGAAAATTCTCGAAAAACAACTCAAATTTAGCTGCAAAAGGTGTGAGAATAACCTATTTTTGCAGGATGCATGGAATCCATTAATGGTTCTAAATAATCATGAATCATTTCAAAGAATTGGTCGCCAGTCAATGACGTATTTAAGTGGTTCATTGGATCTAACCCCTGTGACACACCACATCATGAAACCACGATTAGCATGCACGGTGCCTTGTTGACAACTGGGATCCATAGGCTCATGGAATCTGTACCAAACCCGAACCATACCATCAACCAAAAACAACAAAAATACATAAATGCAACACCAAACAATATTTCTACATCAGGTGTGAAAAAATAGAGGGAGCGTGTGAGTGTGAGAAGGAAAAATTCGGTAAGCTATTAGTATCTACCAACGGTGTGTTTAGATTAAAATGTTATAATCCATACAGGTATAATTTGTATAAAAAACAAAAGATGGATTCTGATTACAATTAAATGTAATGAAAACTGAAAAAAAATCAGTATTTTATTTATAACGCTGCAACGCAATAATCATGCCATGAGTAGCCATGTTGCTTTCTGAAATTTTCCATTTGTGGCAAGTCATGTCAGCACCTGAAAAAAATTCGAATTTTAGAGGTTTAGGGAATTGGTAATTTCGGATGAAGGATACTTAACCTGTAGTGTGTATTAGAAGTATTTTTAATCTCCGATTTATGAAGCATCGTATCTTTCGACTATAGATCTTCTTTCTTCTCTAGAGTTTCCGACTGTTGGCCGTCGGGTTCTTGTGGGCGTTGCATTATAACAGAGAACGGATGGACATATATTTTGGGGCTTTACGAAAATTGCTGAAAATCTCTCATCCTAGACTACTTCTTAGTATTTCAATGACATCAGAATAGTTTATTCTGGTTAAGGGAAGCAAGCTTAGAACATTTCAGCATATCCTCGCATCCCAAGGGATAAAATCATCAACATTAAAATATATAAACCTCTTTTTTTACGCAGTAGAATCAGTTGTTTCATTTCCTGCTATTCCCAAATACTGTGAGCAGTTTCAGCGTTTTTGAGACCCCGTTTGAAATCGCGTCTGAACATTAATCTCAATACTTGTATCCGGCATTATAAGTTCTGAAAGAAAATAGTATAACTGAATAGCATTGATACTAATTTGCATAATAAAAATAATAATAATATCGATAATGCCATAGTCTTCACGTATAAACGTGAAATAAGCTTTGAAGGAGAGATCAGTACGAATTGATCGATTTGTTTTTTACGGATTATCAACCGTTTATTGATTATTTAAAACCAAAACATATTTTAAATTTTAAGAATAATTTCTTTTTTTTTGCGAATGAATATTACATTAACAATTTTTTAGAATAACAATTTTTCCAGACAAAGTCTTACTATTTAACCCATAGCTAAGGGTGAATAGATGGATTCATACCTTTCCCAAGGTTGTAAGTGAATGTAACGATCCCGACTGGAATTCAAACTCGGTTCTCTGATTTTTCATTTCGAGCCACTGTCCATTGGACCACCGGCACATCTAAGTTTGTAAGAAAGGAAAATAATTTAAATGCACTAATTATATTTACAAATATTTATATGAACATGTTGTAAGAACTAATACAGATATTATGATTGTACGCGGTCACACATTATCATAACAGAGGATGAATGCAGAAGGTACTTAGAAAAGCGGCTTAATGCAGTTTTTAAAAAAATCCGGTTAAGTGACGCTTTCCGCGGTTTCAGTTATATGCGGCCAACATCAGAAAAAAAAAACTATTTCTAATAGCACTATAACGCAAGAATAGCGATCCTGTCAATATGCCGGATATGTCGAATAGGCTATCGAGAAGCAATAAAAGCTTTTCCGCTTAAAAAAAATGATGACCGTTATCGTCTTAATAATGAACGAAAAAAATCATGTACTAAGGTTGCTAAGGTTGTTAAGAATTAATCTTCCATTAGTCATGTAACTTTTATTCAATATATTCTTATAACGGCACTATTTACCTTTATAAATTGGTAAATGATAAATATTGCATTGCATTAGTTTTATTTAATTGTATTAGTTTTTAAAATGTTGTAAATGGGATCGGATTTCTTACATTTTTCAGCCAATAAAACAAACATCCACTTTCTTTTTTGGCAGGTAGTGTTTCTTATTGTCTTGCACACTTTTTTCTTTATTTATACATTCAGAATGCTTTAAAAATTCCATTTACAGGACAATAATTATAATTATTATTATTATTATTAATCTCTTATTGTACCTAATTTAT